GGTTGGACTAGATGACCTCCTTTCACCCCTAATTTTCTATGACATCATGCAACAAATTTCAATTGATCCAGCTGATACAGTTGTATTCTCTCTCTGGCAAAATTAATCACTTTCAGAAAACCATCACTATCCATGGAAACTCTCAGAATTGCTCATTTTACACTCTTTTGTTGCTTTCCCTGTCTAGTTTTTGAAATCATATTTGTACCTTGATTTCTCGGGTCAAGCTAATTACTTATCTTTTTAACCCAATTCTCTAGTTTTCTCCAGAGGCTCTTTCTTCAGGTTTAACTGATACTATTATAAATTATTCACTCTCCATTGGGATATGGTGGGATTTCAGACAAGGATTGGTAAACCTTATTAAAAACAATATTTTCACCGGATTAAATTATTGCTAACTGCCTCTCATTTCCTTTCTCTCTGGTTCCCTTTCTTCCTGAAGCTTTTCCATGCATACATGACATTTTGGCTCATATTTTAAGATCTATGACTATGTCACAGTAATTTCATGCCAGTATAAAAATCCATGAGCATGACACTAGCTTCTAGTAGGCAGTAGGAGTATTTCTGGCCCAAACTCCTCTAAGAATTTCTGGTCTTGCTTTGATAAAAGGAGGCAAAGACACTGACTCTATTCCCTAGTCTATGAAATCTATGAAATATATGAAGCTGACATTAGGGCTGGAAGGGACCTCGAAAGATCATTGAGTCCAGCCCCATGCCCCAGGGGCAGGAAGTCAGCTAGGGCCAAAGGATCCCAGCAAGATAAGCATCCAAACATTTCTTGAAAGAGTCCAGAGCAGGTGCCTACACCACCTCTGGAAGGAGTGTATTTCAGGCCTTGGGGGCTCGGACAGTAAAGAAGTTTTTCCTTATGCCCAGCTCAAAATGGTCTTGGAGGAGTTTGTGACCACTGGTCCTTGTCACCCCTTGGGGCACTCTGGTGAACAGGCGTTCCCTCAGATCCTGATGCACACCGCTTATGTACTTATAGGCTGCCACCAGGTCACCCCTGATCCTGCGCTTTTCCAAGCTGAAGAGTCCCATGGCTCTCAGCCTCTTTTCATAAGGCCTATTTTCTTGTCCTCTGATCATGTGCATGGCTCTCCTCTGGACTCTCTCAAGCTTTTCCACATCCTTCTTGAATTGTGAAGCCCAGAATTGGATGCAGTACTCCAGCTGCAGCCTTACCAAGGCCAAGTACAGTGGGAGGATGACATCCTGAGATTTACTTGAGATCTATAGATGCAAGCCAGAGTTTTGTTTCCTTTACCAGTTGTGACATCACACTGGTGGCTCATGTTCATCTTGTGGTCATTCATAACCCCCAAGTCTTTTTCAACCGTGGTGCTAGTGAGCATAGCACTGCTGAGCCTATAAGGGTGCTACGGGTCCCCCTCTATCCTCCCCCGAGGTGGAGCACCTTGCATTTGTCAGTACTGAATATCATCAGGTTTATATCTGCCCACTTTCTAAGTCTATCCCAGTCAGCCTGGATCACCAGCCTATCCTCAGGTGTGGATGCTCTACCCCAAAGTTTAGTGTCATCGGCAAACTTGACCAGTCCACTTCTGACACCAGTGTCCACATCGTTAATAAAGACATTAAAGTGAAAAGGTCCAATGATGGAGCCTTGGGAGACAGCACTGGTCATGGAGCACCATGATGATTCACTTCTGTCAACTACCACTCTCTGGGTCCGGCCTCGGAGCTAATTCCCCAGCCATCGGACTGTGATGTAGCCAAGGCCACAGTTGGCCATTTTTTCTATGAGGAGATCATGGAACACCAGATCAAAGGCTTTTTTAAAGTCCAGATATATGATGTCAATCTCCTCTCCCTTGTTCAGGTGATATGTCACCTGGTCATAGAAGGAGATAAGATTGGTCAGGCAAGACGTACCCACAACAAATCCGTGCTGGCTGTCCCTCAGGATGTTGCCATCAGCCAATTTATCAAGAATGGTTTCTTTGATGATTTTTTCCAGAATCTTTCCAGGGATTGAGGTCAAGCTGATTGGCCTGTAGTTTCCTGAATCTGCTTTTCTCCCTTTCTTGAAGATGGGCACCACACTGGCCTTCTTCCAATCTTCAGGTACTTCATCTGAGCACCACGAATTCTCAAATATCCTTGCCAGTGGCTGGGCCATGATGCCGGTCAGCTCCTTAAGTACTCTGGGGGGCAATCTGTTAGGATCAGTTGACTTGAAGGTGTCCAGCCTCTCAAGGTGTTCCTTTACAAGGTCTACACAGATGCTGGGCATAAATTCACCCTCACCCTGGCTGTCCCGCTAGGCAGGGCGGTCCCTTTGGGCTGATGAAAAACTAACGCAAAGTACCCACTAAGCAGGTTAGCTTTTTCCTGGGTGTCGGTTGTCAGCTGTCATATATGGTTTAGCAGGGGTCCAATGTTACCCATGCTATTCTTCCGACTCCCCACATATCTGAAAAAGGACTTTTTATTGTCCTTGATATGTGTAGCCAGTTGGAGTTCGGTTGCAGCCTTGCCTTTCCTGGTTTGCTCCCTACAGGTACGGACCAGTACAGAATACTCCTCCTCTGTGGTGATTCTTGTCTTCCATTCTTTATAATCCTCTCTTTTTAGGTGTAGGAGGTCTACGAGTTCCCTGCTGAGCCAAGGGGCTTGTTGTGCCCTTTTGCTACCTTTTCTCCGAGATGGGATGGACATCCCCTTGTGCTTTCAGGATCACTCCCTTAAGGAGCAACCACTCCTCTTGGACTCCTCTGTCGAGTCATGGCCCCTTAGGGCCTTGACAACAAGCCTCCCGTGCTTATCAAAGTCAGCTTTTCTAAAGTTTAGGACTTCTGACTGACTTAGTTCTCTGTAAATAACTACTTTGAATATCAGATATTAGTATCAGAGGGGAAATGAAACCATCATTTTGCACTCCAGCCCCACAGTACTCTAAACAGACAAAACCACAGCCAGGTAATGCCCTGTGTCGGTATTCCTTTACATTTCTAGGCTCACTGCAGCAGAAGCAACTGTCATAGGAGCTTCGGGAGTATATTCGCTAAATATTTAAAAGTATCTTTATTTGCACGAGTTTCTTAAACTTAATGTAGATACCTATATTTCCAATACTGTTAATCACTCAACACTATTTCAGCATGGATCATCCTGAAAGTTCAACCCATTGTCAACTCCTATTGGTTCTGATTAGGACCCAAAGGAAGCCCTGTGCATGGGCCAAGCTTTTGATGCTATGCTTTATCTCAGTGTAACTTAATACAGGGTCCTAAACTTACTTCATTTTATGTTCACTTTTCTTTGAGGCCTTGAGTCCTATTATGGTTTTAATTATCATAATTGTACTGATATCCACACCTATGATTCATTTCCAGTCTTTTCTAGCAAAGATACACAACAACAGATACTAACATCTGAATGGTTCCCAAGGTTTTGATACTGAAGTCCTATAAGATGGAATCTTTATGAATTGAAAATGAAATTCTGTATTCTATCTTTAGGGTTGCATTTATGGAAATTAATATGTATCAGAAGTCAAGAATTTAGCTGTTGGTTTTTAATACTGGCTTGTCTTACTCTATTTTACTGTTTTCAAAGGTATGTCATTATCAATTATTTGTTTTCAAGTACTCATAAATACTTACTATTTCCTGTGTTTTAGCAGCTGATAATCAGAATCTTAGAAAAGTAGGGCTGGAAGGGACTTCAGAGGTATTTTAGTTCAAGATCCTCCCTGAGGCAGGATCATCCCTATCCAAACCATCCTATACAATCCATAATCTAAACTCTACGTAAGACTACCATCAACCCTGACAACACAGACCTAACACAAGACCTACCTGCTGCAAGTAAAGCAGGGGAACCACAGCAGCCAATATCCTGCTTCTATGAAATGTTGTCAATACATACTCAAGAGATCCCAGGTAGAGGGCTCTTGCAATTTCACCTTTCAGTTACAGCAATATGATTTGAGGAAGTTTTCCTGGCCATTCAATCTTTTTTTTTTAATTAGTTTACAATACATGTTTTACTGTCTCTATTCTTCATAGCGTTCACATTGCAATGCTTGTTGTTCAAAAGTAAGACAGACCAGCACTTTCATGGATTTAAGTTCAGGGGTATTTTGTTTCTAAAATTTACCACTTTACAGCTCCCTATAGATTTGTCTTGTAGGATGTCAATCTCTGGCTTTGTCTCCACTACAAACACAATAGTGCAGGGACTGCACTCACAACATGACTCAATTACAACCTAGTCCTGCTCTGTAATGGAGACAGACACTGAATTTTGTAACCTAAGGCGGTGGATGCTTCAGGAATTGTGAGCTAGACAATCTGTTGGGTCTTGCATAATTTCCAAATATAGTTCATTCTCACAGCTCGTCTTGGTGGCTTGAGAGCATACTTCACATACAGTCATGTAATTCACTCAGTGTTTTTAAAATTAGGTTTGCATGTCTTTTTTTCCAGTTCCTTTATAAATGCATGTTCTATTGCTGTCCTGCATTTTTCTGTAGTATGGATTGAAAGGGCTATATAAAGATCAAATAAAAATAATGTTATTTTCCCACGCCGTTTTGGCACTCTTGGCAGATACTTGGAAAAAAACTGCATTTCTGACAATGAACCATTAGGAACAAAAAGTCTTTTAAAGAAGAATAAAATTGAGCATGCATTTCCTCAGATACATTTACTCCCCCCCCCGAAAAACAAATACAGAGTTCACCCATACATTAACCCCTGCCAATCTTATCTATTGTCAATGGCTTGAAATGCAAAAGATTCTTCTTTGTCCTCACTGTCAGATAAGATTGTAATTTTCATCCTAATAAGCCATCTCCTGATCTCTGGCAGAAATTAGTAATCAGGTACATTGGAGACACCCATAAGCCTATGAGATGATGATTCTGCCAAACAGCAAGAAAAGGGATCTAACCCTATTTTAAAAGCTGCATCTGATGAATTGATTCCATTACTCTCCTGAAACAAATCCAGTAAATGAAGGACAACAAATTCATTATGAGACCGCTTTCTAGGAAAGAGATACCTTTTAAAATTGTCTTTATTACAGCATGTCTGGTTTAATTAACATTTTATTATTACAAAGAATAATAAAATACAAAAATAAGTGCCTAAATATTAATTGGGTTATGCTTATCAGGAGGAAAGACAACTACGATTTTGATGAACAGGGAAGTCTAAGTTTAAATTCATGTTGGGGTGTCACAAATTAAGATAAAACCTCATTCCTGGTTTAAGTAAATATGCAGGAACTGGTGAAGTGCTGACATGGAAATATGGTTACAATGGATTTACAGTACTCCTTTAATTGGAGAACTTTTCCAGCAAATAGAGTCCAGTCACAGATGCTGCCCCTCTGGTGTTATCTAGTTCTCACAGTTTTCATACAGAAATAAGGCTTGAAGGAACCCTCCAGCGGTTATCTAGTCCAACCCCCATCCTGAGGCAGGACCATCCCTATCCATAATCTAAACTCTTCATCAACTCTCCCACAAGACCCAACACCCTAACCTGCCGCAGTTAAAGCAGGGGAACCATAGCAGCCAATGTCCTGCTTAAAAAAGGTTGTTAATATATATTCAAGATATCTCAGCAGAGGGCCCTACCCCCCCCACTACACAGGAAGGCAAAAACCCCCACAGTCCATACCAATCTGACCATGGGGTAAAATTTCTTTCTGACCTGAATATAGCAATTGGACTAACCCCGAGCAGAGGAGCAAGCACCTCTAGCCAAGAGCCTCTGGTTTTAAGTCCCAGCAGGAGCTCTGACACCCCCCCGTCCACATAGGCAACGTGTAGGGGGTGCATGGGGGTGCACGTGCACCCCCTGAGAGCGAGCGCTCTCGGCTTAGGGCAGGGGGGGCAGGCGGAGCACTGGTGCCTCCCCCCCACCAAGAAGTGCTGCTGGCACTTCCAGGTGTGCACTTCTGGGGGTGGTGCCTGGCTGCGGGGGGATTCCCCCCCCGCCCCTGCTGCTGCCTGTGGACTGGTCCCCACTCAGCCCGCCCTCACTGTCAACGCTTGCATTGCTGCCTGCAGGAGGTTGCCGTGCCCCCTCCAGCCTCAGGAGGCACGCGCCGCCTATGCCAGTCAAAATCCCACACCTTGGCTGCAGCCAACACCCAGTGCTTCTGAGGAAGGCTTAAAAACAACCTGACAAATGTAGCAGAAAGGAGAGAAGGGGGTAACCAGCAACTCTTCCTCTGCCAGCACCCCAAACCAAAACATTAAACAGCTAAAATCTGAGGCTAGGTTTAGGGACATAATCCTCCAGCTAAAGAAGAAACAGGTCATGTCTACATGAGACCCTGACTGCACAGTAGCCTGATACTACTGCACAATAGCATTATGTGGCAACAACCGTGACACTACACTACTGTCCAGTAGTATTAGGCTACTGTTCGGTAGCATCACAAAAAACACATTCATCAGCACTACTACGCAGTAACTTGGGTTACTGCAAAGTCATTTAGGATTTGTCTATACCAGTACTAAATGAATGCACAGTAATGACTGCACAGCTAGTGTCTTACGTAGATGCAGCCACACAGCGTTAGAAATGTCACCATGGAATTATTTGGGTATAGGAAAGTACATGGTGCTTTTTAAACTGCTTATATTAAGGCTAGACCTTTTTTCATCCTTTGAAATTAAAACACTCAGCTCTGAGTGGTTTTTTTTAAAAGGTCTTTGACTATACAGTAATGCCTATTTGCACAAAATGAAATATTTCAGTTCCCCCCGCATGTTTTTCCTTCACCAAAATAAAAGCCTCCCTCCCCCTTCCCCACAGAGATTAATTTGCTGGCTTGTATAAACCTGTGATCTGTTCAGTGTGGCATTTAGCCAGATTTCAGAAGGGCCATAATCACTGGCAGAAACTGTAAAAATTTGCAATCAGCCAAATAAATTTGTTTTTAGAAATGGGGAACAACAGAGCAACAGGTCAATGGAATTTATATTTGTAGAGCTGTTTTATTATCCTCTTGTCTCCATAAATTTGTAAGCATAATCTATTCCATCTCAGCTAGATTTTGAAAGTAGAAAGATGCCATTATATTGTGTACCTTATTCCAAACTGTGAAACTTAAGTGCTTAAGAAAACATCAACTTGTGTATATAAGCAGGAACTGAGAAACAGGACTTCTGGGTTTTGCTTCTGAATCTGCCATTGCTTCTGAATTTGCATCTAAACCTGCACTATGAACTTTACAGTCATTTAATTTGTACAAACTTCAGTTTCCATCTGTGGTATGGATGTAATAATACTCAGTTACTTCACAGGGATGTTGTGAGGCTTAATTAAGAGGTCTGCAAAGAGTTCTGAAAAACAACAATGAAAGCTGCTATAAAGATATTTTTTAAAATGTACAAACCAGTTTACAGATTTAATGTGCCTAAATTAATCTCTTACACCGCTTTGGAAACTTTCTAGCAGCATCAACTCTATTCAGTGCAGGTTGCTGCAGGGATATTTATACCTGCAGCTACTATTCATAGCCCTTTATGAGGGTGGTTAATTTGAAAGGGCTCTTTAAGAAATCAACTGAGATTCAGCATCATTTCATGGAAGATACTTGATAAATGATTATTCTGATATTAGGTTTCAAGTTAAAATACCCTATGAAATTAAACAAAACCTCAAGTCTAGAAAATATAATCCTAGATGGCATAAAACCTGCTTTACTATCATTATATTTCATGAACCAAAACCTCTCCAAAAGCTTGGATAGCTTTAATTTGCCATCCATAGTAGACTTGGACAGTTTTCCAAAATTAAGTTTCCTCCTCATACTGTTCTGACTTCTTCCCCTCTCTACACAAACTTCCAGACCTGCACACTGGTTCACGCCAATAAGCGACTGCTCAGTACTAAGACTGTGGTACTTCCAACTACTGGTGAAGTACAGAGTGTTGAACTATACTGGAGCTCATTTCCTCCCTCTGGGTAGTTAGGGAACCTGTAGCCAGTCATCTCTTGAATGCTTACACTTTCTTATGAAAACATGTATTTATTTAATGTTTACCTTTTCAATTTTCTCATCCAGCATTCTGAAGAACTCCTGTTGGCTTTCAGAGATGTGCATGCTGAAAAACATAAGGGAAAAATATTTCAGTATGCAGAAATATGTCTCGATTTCAAATGAACATAGGCTTCCAGACTCGAGTCTCAGGTTTTAGGTTTCTAATGGAAAGCAATGGACTTTGTGCTTATCTATCTTTTGTCAAGAGTAACAACATCTGAGACAGAGTGAACCGTGTTAGTCTGAAGTCAGGAAGAAGTCAGGGTAGATTTGCACCTTACAGACTAACCAAATCAGAGATGTGGCATAAACTGATGAAACATATAGCTGATGAAGTGAGCTTGAGCTCATGAAGGCATATGCTATACATCTGATGTAGTTAGTCTCTAAGGTGCAAATCTACTGTGCCTTCAGTAACAAGTGCCATATCCAAAATGCAGAGAAACTGTCCTCTCAACCCCAAAGCAGTGTCAGGAGTTAAATACCAAATATTGCTGAGTCAACAGGAGAAACACGCTATGCGCTGCTTTTCAGGGTCGGACCCTCAGATAAACAAACAACCTTCTGCTACCAGATATCTTTTAGATCAGCAGAAGACCTGCAGTATTATTGCTACACACATTTAAGTTTTAGAAATGGTGTGTGTCAAGAGCAGACCATGTTGCTTCAGCATCTATCCTCCTGTTTAATGCAGACTTCAGGACCTAACATTCAGCTGCATACTTCACAGGCAGCGGGCGGGCTACTGAAATACAGATGAAAATTTTCCAGTTGGTCTAATAAAAGATATCATTTTGGAAACAAGAGTTCTAGTTTTTTGTATGTCATTCATGGTGTTAGACAGTTAAGGGACTCTCTGGGCATGGCTACAGAAGACACTTACTGCATATTAGTCTAATAACACTGTGCAGTAGCGTGGTGGTTAAAAACTGTGCTAATAGCCTACTGTGCAGTGTTATTAGCCTAATGTGCGGTAAGCATCACAAAATAACCATGTGCTGGTGCTACTGCACAGTAACTCTAGTTACTGCACATTTAGTTAGTACTTCATTAAGCAAGTATTAAACTAAACGTGCAGTATCTAAGGTGCATCAGTGAACGTGTAGACGGTAGAACCACTATTTAAATAACAGTAAAAGCTGATTCAGCTCACTGAATTCAACTTCCAGGTTCTCCTAGGTTCTCATTTTTTCCACCTAATCCTTTGAAATATAACAAAATTAGTGCCTCATCTAAATGCTCAGTGATACAGTGCATTTCTAACAAAGCCAGGCATACTCTCTGTATTTACTTTTGGAATGAGCGTACCCAGTTCTCTGCTTATGCTGATGCCCTGAATGAAAGAATAGTTTGAAAGAGAAGTTCTTAGAGGAAAGCTGGAAGTTAAATTACAATCTAAATCAACTTACAGATCAACAGATCATTTAAAGGAGTGCATTTTAAAAAATGAACACTGTCAGTGTTTTAGAAATAAAGAAGAAAGGTTAGCTAACATCATGACTCTAATCCATTTTCAGTAACTGAGGCCTTGCCAAACAAGCCATCTTCAGTAAAGGCTAGCAAATTCTAGTCTCGTACACCTAAACACTAACTTCTTTGTTAGAGATACAGCATGCACATTGTGTTAATGTAGGTAGAAGTGTGACACTGATTTGTAAAGTGCTGTAGCAATTTAGGTCCAGCAGATAGCCTCTTTGACAGAGACAGCCAGAGCGAAGCAAATGCTTCCATACCTAGCTCTATGATAGAGAATTTGAAATCCACAGCTCTTGAAATTTACAACTCTCAAAGTCTCAGTTTCTAGCACAATAGCAAAAGATGCTTTTAAGATCCACCTAGGATGTAATTTTCAGGAACACTAATTGGCAAAAAGTCTGTATTGCTATGTGGATAAAAAGTTCAAACAAATAGCTTGACAGAGTGCTAGAATCACTGAAGAGTTGCAAGTGTCACTGTTACAAGCCAGGAGAGCATATCTTGGCAATAAAATTACCCTTATGAGTTAGAAAGAGAATGTGGATGGTGTATTCCTTCCTCAAGAAAATTCTTCTCACAAAATGAAATTTCTGCATAATCTTTTTATTTTGTGATCGTTTTGTATTAAACAACAATAAGCATCAGAACAAGGCTTGATGACACCTGGATGAATCTTGGAAATGTCATTCTGATCTAATAAAAAATAATTACTTCATAACTGAGAAATAATATTTTACAGAAATTTGGAGTATAAATCAGTACAATGTTATAAAATAATCTACCTCTTTTGTAATACCTCCTACGACCCCAAACCAGTAGAAATCTATGTATGTGAATAGTCTCTACATACTTGATGTAGACTATTAAACACATGTGTAAAGGTAGATAAATACACTTTGCATGATCTGGACTTCATTCCACAAAATCCAAATTTTGCTATGTAGCAGTAATCTCTATGATTTCTTACATACTTCTTTCAACAAATACTTTTTAAAAGTTTTAATTTGGAATGCCTAGCCTGTTTTGTTTTGTAATAAGTATAAGCAACTAGGAGCTAGATAGGCTTGTTTTAAGCAAAAAAAAATTAAAATACAAGCTTGATAAAAAAAAAAAAAAACTAAATTAGAAGGAACAAATCTATGAACTCTTCCTCCCCTGGAAAACCTGGCTGACTAATTTTTCCCTTTTAACTCAAATTGGTTGGTGCCCAACTAGCAGCTTCTATTGTTTTGCTTAGACTAAAGCAGGGGTGGGTAAAATACGGCCCACAGGCTGGATCTGGCCTGCTAGCTGATTGGATCTGGCTTGCAGACGGGCACCCACCAATTAATTGCATCTGGCCCAGCCCTCGGCTGACTCTGTTGTGCTCTGCATGGGGCCAGGTCCAGCCTGCCCCTGCCTGAGGCAATGTATGTTGTGCTCCCAGCCTCTTCCACAGGAGGGCCCCAGCCCTGGCCAGTGGGCACAGCTTCAGGGCAGAGCTGCTGCTGCCATTGCTGCAGCCACCTGGGGAACTGCTGGGCTCCCCCCGGCATCCAGTGACTCCTCCTCCAGTCCCTGCTGGAGCACTGAAGGCAGGAGGTAGGGAAGGAAAGCTGTGGCATTGACAGGAGCGGGATGGAGGCAGGCTTTGCTTGCACCTTGCTTTGGTTCTGCTCATGCATGGCTGGGTGGGAGACCGCATGGTGGGGGGCATGAAGTAGCTCCGCTGCTCACAAAGCCCTGCTGGACAAGCATAGGACAGGCAGGTGGGGTGTGAACAGCAACAGCAGAAACAGGAGCCAATGTGAGCTCAGCTGCAGCCCAGCCAGGCAGGCATGGGACAGAGGCCAAGAGAGCTGGTGGCACCAGGCTTGGTTCCCCCCACTCCCCGTCCAAGGGCCTTCCCTTGCTGCCTCCAGGCAGCAGCTGCTTTCCCACCCCTTTGCAGCATGCTGTGAGCCAGGCAGGCAGCACTGATCCCTCCACCCCCACCTGTGGAGGGTCTGGGCTCAGCCACATCACAAATCGCAGGCGGGGTGGGGGGGAAGCTGGGCTGGGGGACAGAAGCCTCCCACACATGCACATCCCCATCACATACCCACACCCCCTACACACCCACGCACATCATACACCCACCCCTCCCACACTCTCCACCCACCATACCCACATCCCCCCAGACACACCTACCTTCCAACCACATACTCCTCTGACCACACACGCACCCATATACTCCTCCCTCCTCCCAATATACAAGAGTAAGACTGTTTTTTGAGCTATTATGCAATCGCCTCTATATACACTATACAAACTATATAGGAGGATGACCCAGTGAGTGATCTGATGATAGAGGGTAACCTAGACGACAGTGACCATGACACTATCACTTTCATTGTCCATCATAGGCCTGGGAAATCTGTCAATAAGGTACAAATTCTTGACTTCAATAAGCTAAGGACTTTAGTGAGTAATGCCCTACGGCATCATGGACTGCAGGGAAAGGGTATGGATGAAGTGAATGAAGATTGGTTGTTCCTCAAAGACATGATCCTCGATGCACAGTTGTCCATACCTGTATGCAAAAAAGGTGGCACAGGGGCAGGGAGGCCATCTTGGCTCAACAGGGAAGCTGCAGATCTTCTGAAAAAGAAAAGGGAGGCTTACCAACGATGGAAGCTAGGAATTGGCCCCAAGGAGAACTACATAAGATTGGCCCACACCTGTAGGGGGCAGATTACAAAAGCAAAGGCAGTGATGAAATTCAGGTTAGCAACTGAAATCAAGGACAATAATAAGTCCTTCTATAGGTACACAGGTAACAGGAGGAAAACCAGTGGAAACATGGGACCACTGCTCAATGCATCTGGACATCTGATCACTGACACCAAGGAGAAAATTGAACTCCTGAATGAGTACTTTGCATCTGTATTCTACCAGTCTAAGAAAGACAGCATGCCAAAAGCAAATATGACACAGAATAGTCACAGCAGGGATGATCACTTAACAACAGTCGATGTAGAGCTGGTGAAAGAACAGCTAGAGAGGCTGGATATCTATAAGTCAGCAGGACCGGATTAACTCCATCCAAGAGTGCTGAACTCCAAAAGACATCACAGAACCACTGGCGAAACTCTTTGAGAATTTGCAGTGCTCAGAAGAGGTCCCAGAAGACTGGAAGAGGGCCAATGTTGTGCTCATCTTCAAGAAGGGGAGGAGAGAGGACCCAGGGAACAGCCTGATCTCAATCCTAGGAAAAATCCTCGAAAAATTTCTTAAGGAGTCCATATGCGATAAGCTAGTAGAAAGCAAATTTCTGAATGACAGTCAGCACGGTTTTGTTGCAGGTAGGTCATGTCTGACTAAACTAATTTCCTTCTATGGCCAGGTTATTCACCACCTGGATAAGGGAAATGAGGTTGACTCCATTTACTTGGACTTTAGGAAGGCCTTTGACTTGGTGTCCCATGAGGCTCTCAGGGTAAAACTAGGGGACCATGGGCTCAACAATTTAATGGTCAGATGGCTGGGAAACTAGCTGCAGGGTCAGACCCAGAGAGTACTAATAGACAGATCTGTGTTGACCTGGTGAAAAGTAGCCAGTGGGGTTCCCCAGGGTTCAGTACTTGGACCAGTGCTTTTCAACATCTACATCAATGATCTGGATGTGGGGGTGAAAAGCTCACTGGCAAAGTTCACTGGTGACAGTAAGCTGTGGGAAAGTGCGGCCACACATCAGGGTAGGCTGATGATCCAGGTGGACCTAGACAGATTAGTTAGATGGGCAGACCAGAACCAGATGCTGTTCAACACCAAAAGTGTAAAGTGCTCCATCTGGGGAGGAAAAATCCACAACAAACTTACAGGCTCAGCGGTGCTACGCTATGCTAGCTAGCGCCACGTCTGAAAGGGACCGGAGGGGTCGTAATTGACCATAAAATGAATATGAGCCACCAGTGTGATGCTACAGTTAGCAAAGCAAACACTATGCTGGCATGCATCAACTGATGCATCTCAAGCAAAACTAAGGAAGTTATTTTCCCATTCTACTCGGCACTGGTGAGGCCACAGCTGAAATACTGCATCCAGTTCTGGGTGCCATGCTTCAAGAAGGATGTGGAAAAGCTTGAGAGTCCAGAGAAGAGCCACTCATATGATTAGCAGTCTGAAGAGCAACCCATTCAAGGAAAAGCTGAGAGATATAGAACTGTTCAGCTTAGAAAAGAGAAGACTTTGTGGGGATTTGGTGGCAGCCTACATATATAACATGGGAGAGCACCAGGGGCCAGGCGAACAGCTATTCACCAAAGCGCCCCAGGGGAAAACCAGGAGCAAGTCATAAACTGCTAGAAGAAGGTTTCAGACTGGATATAAGGAAAAACTTCTTCAAGGTTTGTGTGGCCAGACTCTGGAATAGACTCCCAGCAGGGGTGGTACAGGCACCTACCCTTGAGATCTTCAAAAAGAGACTAGACAGACACCTTGCTGGGGTTATTTGACCCCTGCATCTTTCCTGCCCAGAGCAGTGGGGGCTGGACCCGATGAGCTCATGACGTCCCTTCCAGCCCTAAACTTCTGTGAATCTGTGGAATGCACATAAATCAGGACAAAAATATTTTTTAAATAAAATTAAAATATGTTATAGCTGATGTTTGATTTTTAGTATATGATTTGGGGTTTTTTCTGGTTCCAAGATGGCACCCCTCCCCCTGGAGTACTTCCAGGGCAAGGGTAGGGACTTCTGGTGACAAAGGTTAGGGGGCAGGGGCAGGATTTCCAGTCCCAAGATGGCAACCAGGGGACAGGGCACCTGTCAAGAATTGGGACTACCCTTGCAGCCCTTGACATCTCATCAAAATTCATTAAATCAGGCCTCCAGCTGGAATAATTGCCCATTAGAGTTTCTTTACATCCATAAATCTGCTGGGACTAATGTTGACTAGGATTTAAAATAATGAAGTATCTCACCATCTTGCTGACAAGTACATTGCCCCCTCCTAACTGAATGTTTCTTTGTAGTTATATTTGAAATACTTATATATTGTTAATTCATTAGGACTGAACTGAGTAATATTTTATGACGTGAAAATTTGCACAATGTACTTTGTATGCAGCAAGTTTAAGTTAATAAGTGCCCTAAAGGCATAGTATATCTGCAAAGAATAGTTTCTCCTTTATTCCTTAGAATGCAACAACAGTGCTTTTATCACGTCATTGTTAACTACCAAATTTATGTCACTGTGTAATCTGTTATTTTCAATCCAATTAGTGATTAAAATGCAATGGTGATTTAGATAATAAACAAGTAACTAATACTGGCAGCAGCACTGTCACAAGTGGTAAATACGTCATGGCAGCACTGTGCATAATAATACTGACTGGTTTCAAAAGATATAGTCACAGAACATATCTAAGGGTTGCATAAACTGACTGCCACATAGCACACTGTCAGCATTTTAACAAATAACTTCATCATCTTAACTGGAAGAAGTTTAATTCCCAGATTTGACATGCAGTTTATCTACCAAACCAAGCCCAAACATTGGGCACAATCTCTTGGGACACTGTAACTAACTTTTGTATGGGCATTTATGGACATGCATACACAAATGTCTAATGGTAGCAGATATATACTGCAGTGTAGTACCTTGAAAAAGTGTGGCAAGGTCAATCTAGCCACAGTGGAGGAGGACGGGGAAGAGGGAGTAAAGGTCACATCTTTGAAAAATATACGAAGGATAGGGGTTCTTAAAAGTTGCCAAAATTTAAACTGTGACCAAACTAAACACTATGTTAGTAGTTCATCATGCCTCCCAGGTACTTCCATCTTTAATATAGTTATGCACAGAGACTACAAATCTTGGCATACCATGCTCCATCATGAGTGGAGCAATTCTCAAGATGCCCCTACAAAGTAAAAGTCTGAAGGTGGCTACGTTCCTCTCCATTTTATAAAAATTGGATGTGACCGCTGATTTACTGGGGAGACACTAAACAGCTTTCACTAGGGCAAAGTTTTACTTTAATTTGGCATTCATTTCTATTAAATTAGAAAATATAACTTACTTTGCTCGGGGTTGATGAACTAATCCTGGAATCTCTTTATTAGACTTAAGTCTTACATTTGAACTGGCACTTTTTTCCTGAAATACACAAAAACATTATATATATATATATATATATAGGGATATAAGTATTTCTTGCATATTAAAAATACGCATATCTGTCATAAGAAGTTACTCTGTAGCGTAGAGAGTGAAACTGTACAATCAAGTATATTAGCCATGAGAAAGCACAATCAAAAAATCTTAAAGGAAATGAAATTGGTATAACAATTCTGCAATAGGACAACCATCAACCCGTAGGTAAACTAATTAAAAATGATATTATGATAGGACTTATTAGGATATATAGCCAGGTTACTGAGTAAAAAACCAGAAGCTTGTAGTGATTAAAAACTGTTATTATCTGATTACTGTTAGGCACATGACTATAACACAAGCGGCACTAACCCACGATGTTATCTAACTTTTAATGAGGTATCATAGCACGATACTGAATGCACGTAGAGACTGAAATTAACCTTATAGCTCTAGGAGCTGACTACCCCAGTACAGGGTTAAGCAACATTAGTGAGGCAGCAGGTGGAAAAATTCAGCTATCAGTGCACAAGTCTTGTGGTTAAAGAACACCATTGTCTATTGGGCTGTCTGTTCAGTAATCCCTTGAAAACGTTAAGTTCACATATACACATAGCCTATGGCTGCAAACAGATGTTGCCTTTGTGCCACCATAAACATTTTTATGGAGGCACAAAACCTAAGCAAATGTTCTTAAGCCCTCTGTCACATCACAAATGTCCTCATTTTGGGTTTAGACATGTCACAAAACGAAGCCAATCAGCTGTGGCAGGATGTGTTGTACCACAGCTGATCCTCTTCATTGGGTGAAACACACTGCCCGTTTTTTCAGGTAATTGCCTGGGGTGCATCTCTGTAAGCAGGAAACATCAGCCTCTCCCTGGGTCACAGCTCTGCAAGTAGGGAA